TGGCCTCCAGCCTGGGTCAACCCACCACAGCGTGTTTTGTAGGCAGGTTTCCATGCAAGCTCCTACCTTGCTGGGAAACTGCTGTATGATCTGTGGTGTGTAAGTCATCTCAGATGCCTTCTTGTGCAGTGACACCACCACGAAGAGCTCAAACAGCCGCTGCTCCTGGAGCTCTATCAAGTCCCTCTCCAAAGTCTGGTAGTGCGGGTTCCTCTTGGAGGCTGACTGCACCTGCAGCATGCACCTGCGGCGACCTGAAGAAAGGAACAAATCGAAAACCAACCTGTGGCTATCCCTACCACACACGTACAGGTCACAGAAGAGGACTGGCCACCACCTTTAGAAGGGGGAAAAGAGATGGGTGCATGTTCCTAACATCACTGCCGTGCTCTACGGGACTTGGACTCCTGTGGCAGCTCCTCAAGCCCAGCACTGTTCCAGATACGGGAGCACCAGCCTTGCAGAAGCTCTGCAGGTCCCTCGTGACTGATAGCTAGCGTTCTCCCACTGTCCTGGAATCCTTTCCTCGCGCCTCAGAGCGACACGCCATGGTAGGGAAGCCCAGCTGTGAGAAGCGGCCCAGCTCCACCAGTTCGGTATATGCCAGGTCTCAGGCAGCTACTCCGAAAAGCAGTGCGGGCATTCAAGAGAGGCAGAGCCAGTTTCCTGGCCAAGAAGGCTCCAGGCTGGGACATCTTGACGGGCAGTACAGACTCACAAGCGCAGGCACAGCACTCTGATGTAAGAAATTCCTGTGGCGCTGGCACCATGACACATTCTAGACACTGGAAACAACTCTTAGCTCAGGCAGTGACTCAGTCACTGTATTTCTGCAGACACTCTTCACTCTCCATTACTTTCCTTAATATAAAAAAGTGGAACTTCACTATTTGCTCCAAGTTAAGACATTCTGTGTGCTTCCCTCCAAGAAAATGAAACATCTAAAACAATTCCATTGGCCCTTTTTGCTAGATGCTTGCTTAGGAACATGACAGAGTCATCAGGGCTGCTGGCCAACCATTACCATTTCACATTCAAACCTCACCAGCACGGAAAGTAAGACCTCTTTGGTCCTTCCCACACCAGCTAAAACCTAATCGGTGTTTCAAGTCTGTAGTTTAGGCCTATGATCAACCTCAGGACTGTGGAACCAGACAAATGACCAAGCGATTTCTCCCCAGAGGAAAGGGCATTTCACAATATTATACATATAAAACAGAACCAAGGGAAGGAAGGAGGGGGAAAATAACCTCGAGAGTTAGCAGCAAAGGTGGTCCAGGGACAACCTCCTGCAAGACATATTTTAGTTAAGCGTGAGTCTACCAACCCAAAAATGAATCTACTTTTAGTGACTGGCAGATTAATGGCATTAAACCTCAAGGGCTCAGGAGAAGTGGCAAAAATAGAGGTTGATTTTTCACAGCAACAGCTCCCAGCCTTGGCCATGCTGCCTCTTAGACGTTCCCCTCTGTCTCGGCAGAAGCCACAACTAGTCGGTGTGCTTATCCCGTTAGAGCCTTAGCCAAACGCGCAGTGCTATGGGGACAGGACCGGCCCCTGTGATTCACTCACTTTTCGGCTGATTTTCCGTATCACTTTCATTCCCACTGGTTTCACCTGAAACACACATAGTTTCCACTTATTAGCCATGCAGAAGGAAGATGGGCAACACCCAAAGTTGGGAAAAAGAGAGAACTTTAGACTCATCAAACCAATGCGACTCAGGGTTGCCCACCGATCCTGCTCAAAGCATCAGCAAAGAACCGTACCGGTAAATGTGCTACAAGAGTAAACGTGAAAAAGCAGAGTTGGTATCAAGTCACTGTTTCCAGCAAACCACCTGTAGGTCAGCTGAACACAGGCAAAGACCAGAAACCAGGGGGTTACTGGATGCTGCTATGAAAGTTAACAGAGTCGCTGAACAGAATATACCATAAATAAAGACTATACCTCAGCTACAAAATCAGAAGAACATGAATATATCACTTTAGAGGCACAAAAGCCATGAGTGGAGTAGTCAGAGGCAGTTCTTGTGCCAAATGGTTTTGTGGGGAATTTGGGGGTTTGTTCTGCTTTTTTGAAAAAGCACTTTTAACCAGTAGCCCAGCTCTTCAGGCTCAGATCGTAGCGGAATCTTCCATTTGTGACAGCGTTAAACTTGGGTTAGGCAAGCGTTCCCAATCTTAGCGGTGCTGAAAGCTCAACAATTCCAGCTGCAAGACACGGGGTTTGGCACTGACGAGTCAGCCCAGCACGAGCTGCAGGAGGTGGTGGTGCCCAGCCTGCTAGCAGTACCCCAGGACGTACAGGAACCGTACCACTCGAGAGGTTTATAGCAAACAGGATGGTGCTGGAGCCCTCCGTACCTTTCACTGGAGGTGCTTCTCTCCCAGCAGGACTGAGCAACTTCACCCTCTTCTTTCCACGCTTAGAATCAAAGATCTCCTGTATTTTTAGTACCAGCTGAAATCCAAAGCAGAAGCAGAGGTTAACGTGGGGGTCCAGGTGCCGACAGCGACCACCTAACACCACATCCTTGGGCAGGGCTGTCCCAGTCCTGCCAGGGACCCTGGCTCGGAGACCGCTTGCTAGAGTGCTTTTAGCACAGCTCGCTGGATAATGACCGAGCACAGAATTTCTGCTACGAGAGAGAGATTACTGTTAGCACAACTCAGAGCTGACACCAACAAGCGTTCTGGAAGTTACCGTATTTTGCTTACCAAACAGAGAGCAGAAGCGGCAAACTGTCTGGCATCAGGTCTCCATTTTCTATCAGAGAAGCCAACTGCAAAGGCACTTGCAAGAATCTCTCATAAACCCTCCACCACAACGGACTCTGAACTCCACGTGCTCTCAAACATCCCAATTCTTTCCAGAAAAAGCAGAGTTCTCTCAATGTGGCTTGGGGTTTGTTGTTTGTTTGGCCTTTTTTTTTTTTTTTTTTTAAAAAAAAGTTTGCTGCTGTAGTGGGCTGTCAAACAGCTAGAGTAAATTCTCCAAAGTGCCATGCCGGGCACAGAACAAGGCTGCTGTAAGCACAGGGTAGCTTGCTGAGATGAAAGGATTATTTCCTTTTGCATAGGTGAGGACAGACAGTGGGACAGAATAACGGGTCTGTGTTGCAGGGACACCACAGACCTGGGCCACTGGAATAAAAACATTGGTAAAAACCATAGCCTGGCGCAGACTAAGCTACAGACATGAAAGAAGGGTCAGCATTTAGACAAACCAAAGTCCTAACGCTTTTTGTTACTCCTATGAGAGGTCTCTCTGGGGTCCCCCCCTCAGCTGCCAGGTAGACAACGCTGGAGGCGGCTCCTTGATTCTGCACGTCAGACAGCTACGGCTTCATTGTGAAGAAGGATTTACGCTAAACGCAGCGAGAAGGTCAAGTTCATTCTTGTCTCAAGTTAATAATTCATTAAATGCTGCTGCTGAATGTAGGAGGGTGGGGCCCATTCATCTGTCACCACAAATACTGCATAAAAAGGAAGATATTCAGCAAGAGAACCTGTTTTTCAGCTCAAGCCTTTCTCCCCAGCTCAGCAAACTAGGCTCAGGCTCTTCTCCTTTTCACACCTATTTCTCCCCATTTTCTGCGTCAGCTCTCCAAGCATGATGAGGCTGCAAGGAAGAAAACAGCCCACAGCGGAAAGCAGTGCTTCTCCTGCAAAATCTGCCTTCTTTTCCTTCTACCACCCAGCCTTACCTAGAGAATTTCCATTTCTGTTCTGATTTTTGTGCAGTTGAGTCACCAGTGAAAGATACTGGGTGTGTTTAAGGCAGCTATGTGTTAAGCAATAAGTTGTAGTGTGTTTTTTTTTTTCTTTTTAGACTCAAGTCCTTTTCTCAATCTCTCCAGCAATCTTGGCTCAATTCCTTGTGAGCAAAAAGAGTAAAGCGTGCTTCCTGCATGTAAATTGTTACCAGATTTTTGGAATAGGTTTGCTTTTGGAGAATGTTTTATTTTCCCCCTCCAAATCAAAGATACTCTCCATCACAGCATTTTTGTAATCTTGCCATCTCCTTCCTGATTTTCCAGGCCCACAGTTTGTTTAAAAACACGTACAGAAGTTGCCTGTTATTCTAAAGTACTTAATATTTGAAAAGTATTTTGCAGCTGTCCAAGTCTACCTCACAGTCTTGTGCGATTGGAATACACCCAATTTGCACAAGAAATAAAGATCTACAGAAGTTAAATGATTTTACCACGGCAAAAAGTAAGTTGTTGTCACTACCACAACTGGAATTTGAGTCCTATGCACAAAGTGCCCCTACAGCGGTAGCGGCAGCTGTCCTAGAGCACGTGCTGCATTTTATCACCGAGGGACACGAGCTGGTAACCAATACTGGTATCTGGAAAGATTCCCAACGCATCAAATGAGAATTACAACGGAGTCCTCTATCGTGAAGGTGGATTAAAAGCATTTCTCGCTACTCTGGCCTCAGAAGCACGCCTGCCTTTGCACGCAGGCAGGAGGGAATGGCAGCAAAGGGGAGAACTGCGTGATGGCTTTGTGAGATGCTTTTATCCCAAAAAGCTGCTCTTCACCTTTAGACTACGAAACAGCTGCAAGGGTCGGTTCCTGATGGTGACTCAAGAGCTCCAAGCCAACCCGCCAAGTAGCCAAGGGCCCAGCCAGGTCCCCACAGCAGCCCCCCACTGTCAGCCATCTAACAAGTCAGCGCCTGCAGCGAGAACACGAGGCTCAGTCTGAGAAGTCCGCAGGAACGAGGGACACGTACACACCACTGTACAGAGCCGGCCCTTTAGCTCACAGAGAGTTTCCTCGCATGCCTGCTCCGAGTTCAGCACAAAACCAGCACCGTTACACTTCATGGAAGGGTTGGGAACAAGGCTTAAATGACAAAGGATGAGGAAGAGCTAGTATTCACACACAGCATTCATCTCCAGGCCAACACCTCATACTCCATTTGCGGACTCTTGGCCAACAAAACCACCACAGTTAAGCTAGAACTGGCACTCTGGTGTTTTGACCCCAAACACCTGCCCTGCTAGAAATGGTTTGAGCTTGTCCACGCACACAGCAGTGCTAACCAGCATTCACAGCTCCACGGCCACTTACAAAGCACTTAGAAGGTGCTAAACAAAGCAGCAAGACTTTGAGAGGCCATGCAAGAAGTAATGTTTCATGCTGAAATCTCACCCAGGGCAAGTTCTTTCTCCTGCTAGCAGCCTCTACTGCTTGGAACAGCTTCCACTCGGTCAGCGTGACAGGCAGGGTTGTGTCCTTCACCATTTTCCCTTGGAAACTTGTCTGGGAAGGCTTTAGCTCAAGACTCTTGCGATTGAGGAAGGGAGGTTTTGGGGGAGGCTAGAAAACAGAAGAGATGGTTAAGCACAGGACTAAGCATGGGATTAAGCTTTGGTCCAAGCTCAGAGTCAAAGGAGTAGATTACGAATGATAAACTTCCTGCAGCCTCCTGCTCTACCAAGCTCTCCATCCCACCCCACACGCTCGAGCATCTCATCAACACTCTCTTGTTCCTATTCTTTTGCTCCTTAGCAGCTTAATCAACCGCCACCGCCATGGCTGTTCATTATCATTTACATTAATAACAAACAATAAAAACTAATGAAAACCAGTGACGTAGCAGTGGGGAATGTGGGACCAGGGGGGAGCACAAAACACGACGCTTGTGAGGATGACCCTCTGTAAACACGTGGCAATTTAATCCCCTCACCCCACCTTGGGAGCCCTGCTGGTGCCCCGGGGGGGTGGTAGCTTCCAGACAGATGGGACCTTCCACAAGGGTAAGGGCAGCGCTCCGACATCTTCATAGGGGTTCTCTTTTGGAGGACCTGGAAAAAAGCATTGAATGGGGGACTGATGAAAGGAGATCAAGTCCTGCATTCTTGCGAGGGACGTAAGCAGGGAGAGCATGCAGTTGTCCGCCAAGCTTTAACAGGGTCTGAGAGAGACCTGTTCTAAGATGGATTAGGTTTCCACCACCCAAAGATCTTTCTAACCCACTACCATCAACTTGGCAAACTGTACACAGACTCAGCGAAACAAAACACTTCTACCACTGCAGAGAAAGCAGCTCTGTGGCAAGGCAGCTAATTTTGTTCATACTGATCTCTGTGCAGTGCTCAAGCAAAGCATTTGAAAAGCTAATAAAGAAATCAGTTTAGCACAGGCCAATTTGAGTGACTTCCCGTGACATCTGAAATCCGGCTGTTCGCATGCGGATAGTTACTAACACCAACAAAGAACCTCAGATGGGGAAGACCTTAAAAGTCACAGAGCTGGAAAGGGCCTCAGCGCATTCTCATCTTCATTCCTCCCTCCCCAGCAAATTTGCTACCCTTAAATAAAGTGAGTGCATCCCCCAGAAGCACAGGCACATACAGATAATGTCTTCGTAGATGTTGTCTTCTGACTGCGTGTAGACGAGCCTGGATCCTGTAGTGCCACTTGCCTCTTCTCGAAGTCTGTGGGAGTTGGTTGTTGCCATCCGGTTGCGGAAGCCCTGGATGTCCTCAAACTCAAAAGATTTCCTAGAGGAAAACCAGTGTAACTTCTTCTAAAGGCACCTGCGTGTACCAGTGAGTTGCTTCTCCAGTCCACACAGAGTATGGTCCTCCTTGGGGCCATCAAGAACATGGATGCTCCACTCTGGACACTCTGATTTCCAAGTGTTGTGGTTTAACCCCAGCCGGCAGCTCAGCCCCGCACAGCCACTTGCTCGCTCCCACCCAGTGGGATGGGACAGAGAATCAGAAGGGCAAAAGTGAGAAAAATGCGTGGGTTGAGATAAAGACAGTTTAACAGGTAAAGCAGAAGCTGCGCACGCAAGCAAAGCAAAATAAGGGATTCATTCACTATTTCCCCTTGGCAGGCGGGTGTTCAGCCATCTCCGGGAAAGCAGCGCTCCACCACACGTAACGGTGACTTGGGAAGACAAACGCCAAGACTCCAAATGTCACCCCCTTCCTCCTTCTTCCCCCAATTTTTATGGCTGAGCACGACATCGTACGGTCTGGAATATCCCTTCGGTCAGTTGAGGTCAGCTGTCCTGGCCTTGTCCCCTCCCAGCTCCTTGTCACCCCCAGTCTGCTCGCTGGGGGCCAGGGGAGAAGCAGAAAAGGCCTTGATGCCATGTAAGCACTGTTCAGCGATAACTAAAAATTGGTGTGTTACCAATACTACTTTCATCACAAATCCATAACACAGCACCACACGGGCTACTGTGAAGAAAATCAACTCTATCCCAGCCAAAACCAGCACACCAAACGAGGCCTACTCACTTACTCTGGGAGCTTTTTAAATTAAAAATGAACTTGGAGGCTCCATGGCCAAGCAGACTCCAAGCAGGTATGGCGAGTCCCATCCTGTCACAGAGGCAAGAACCCAAAACATGTTTTTGCAGACTAAGCGCTTGCAGCAGTACTCAGAATCAGGGCACTGCTTTCTACTGGACCTCTCCTGCTGCTCCTGCTAAGGGTGTTAGCGTGTTTGCGAGGTTGCATTTTCGCGCTCTCGGCCTCCGTTTCAAAATTACGGCACAGAGGTCAGCGAGGAGCTGGCAGGGATTTAGCCCATCATCATAAAATTTGCTTTGTTCCACGTGCTTCGCCACTGTGAAAGAAGGTTTCTGGAGTACCGGCCACCAGCACAGCTGCCCAAGGCACCTCAGCCGTAAGCAGAACTCGCATCGAGCCAGCTCAGAGGTTTTTCACTCTGTAACAGGGACCTACGGCAAAGCGAGCAGAATTACCAAACCTACTGCAACAGGGGTCCCCGCTCCAGCTGACAACCTCCAGCGTTCAGCAACAAGAGAATCTGTCGCTCACAGGCGAGCTGGGACATTTAGCGGCCGTGCTGCCCCAAGATAAAGCCATTCTGTAATCCACAAATCGCAGCTGGGGACAAGCTCGGGGCGAGCAGGAGGCAGCGCTCTCCCTAGGGCCAGCATGTTGTCACTCAACTCTGTTTTAAGGTGCGGGACTGACATCTGTTTGGCGCTTTCGGCCTTCCTCGCAAGATTATCAGCGGCAAAAGCAGCGCGTACGCAATGCTGGGAAGGGGATACTTTCATCCAGAAATATCCTCTCCCCATCAGTACTAGCACCTCTGCAAGGATATCGTGGCAAGCAAGCTGTTTAAACCCCTCTAGAAACTAATTTAAGGAAACACATTTCAGACATGAGAGATGAATCGATGTACCTCTGGGTTCTTCCTCTGATCCTCCTGCTGGTTATTCTCTTCTCAGGATTGGTGGAGGATGACACCAAGTTTCCTCCACGCTGCTTTGGCAGGGGAGCTTCCCTGGTAGCACTGGCATTGCTACAGCGACCGGCACCCTTTTCTGCGAGATAGCGGAAAGTCCTACGGGGCTTGGGTGGTGGGACAGCAGCTGGCTCCTCTTGCCCCTCAGCCTCAGAGTAAATGTTTTTCAAGCTCCTCTCTGCCCTGCAGAGAGTCTCTACTCCTTTGATTTTAAGTTCTTTTTCTGGAGAGCCACAGCTCCCTTGCTTCCTCTGAAGGTCCAAGGGAACTGGTGGGGCTTTGCCAGGCAGAAGGGGATCTACTCTCCTCCACAGCGCTTGTGAGGTATAGAAGTTACCTGGGGGCAGTGTTGCCCCTGGGTCCAGGAAGCCTGCTTGCCACTCTCCTTTCTCCTTGGCTTGGGAAGATAGGCTACATGCACAGGGCTGGAGGTCACCACAGTCACCAGTCTGCAAGCAGCTCTGGACATCTTCCCTAAAGTCCAAACCCAGGCTCTTTGGATCTTTGGAGCCAGTCTTTCTGCCCTTCTCTGTGTGTTCTGGCTTCACTTCGGGTAGAACATTGCAGCTGGGATCATACTTTACTCCAAAGTCCTTCAGCTGCTGTTTCTCCTTGCTGGAGCACACTCGTGTCCTCCCCTCCCACTGGGAGATCTTCTGTTTGATGTTGCGGCAGTGGCTCCGGGAGAGGGTCTGCACAGCAGAGCGGGAGAAGCTACTGTCCACCGACCCTGTTGGGTGCATGGCAAGTACCAACGTGCTTACAAACACCCCATCTCCAGCCTTGTCCAGGTGTGTCCTGCACACGTCAAGCTGGTATGAGACTCTGAAGCACCCAGTGGTGTCCAAGAGCCCCTGGGCGTCAGCTCTGCAAGGACCGCCTGCTATCACAACCTGTGGATAAAAAGAAGAAAAGAACCATCAGCTGCACTCCAGCCGTAGACACCACCAGGAACTCTCAGCTGCACTCTGGCAATCGCTGAAGAACATTCCTCCCCAAATCACATGTTCAAGACTGGCTTCCAGAGCACGCTCCCCACAAAGCCTGTTTCTGTAGCACACATCTGGAGAGCTAACGAAAGGATGCAGAGGTCTCACTTGCTTAAAAAACAAATAAAACACCACCACAGGAACAAAACACAGCCAGGAAGCCCAACCGTCTAAACTCAAGGAAATTATTTAATGGCAGAGGAACACAGCAGCACAGCCTGTCTGCAGCGGAGCTTTCAGCTGCTCGTTGGTGCCTGTGCAGGCCAGGCAGGAGTGCTCCATTTCTCCTGGTGCTCCGTATTGCTCAGAGCACCTCAGGCAGCACAGAGCCAAACCCCTGCAGCACCATGGCTCTACCAGAGCTCTCAACGCAGTGGAGACACAGCAAGTGTATTGGGTTTGCATGGTGAGGTTTTGGT